AGCTTTAAGAGCTCTCCAGCATTCACCTGGAGATTGGCAACAGCTTGTTTGGAGGGTAGGGTCTATGGCATTGTATCTGTCTGAGGTCCCCCTCTTCCTCCTCCTCAGACCCCACCCTCAGCAGGCTTCATCCCTGAAATATCCGGGAAGTTTCCAACCTGGAGTTGGCAACCCTATGTCCTTTCCAGGCAATCATCAGCCTACCTTTATCTGACTGCCTGTCTTCAGGTTTACATCCCCCCCTCACAGCCTCTGCCAAGGGAAAGGGCAGTTTTCCCCTGCAGTGGGAACCAAAGCAGCTGACATCATTCTCCTCTCCCCCGTATGATCCACACAACTAACCTATGAGGTATGTTAAGGCTGAAAGTGTGTGAATGGTCCATAATCCCCAAGGCAGCTTTTAAAACATGAACCTGGGATCTGCACACCATCCTCTGAATTGCTCTCTGGTATCTGTGGCAGTAATGGGGTGACTGCTGGTATTCTGCTTGTGGTGTGATCTATCTTTCTTGTGGTGTGGCATTATTATGTTATTGGGTTTGTTTCTGTTGAAGGGGAAGTGATATGTTGTGAGTGAGGTCATATTTTACCTCAGAATACAGCAGGTCCCATATGCAACTGACGATGCCAACTGTCTTGCGGAGGGGGGGAGGGAGTTCAAGGTGTGGAAGTCCAATCAGATTCCATATGTAAATGACCTTGAAATTCTGGCCCAATCAGAGAAGAGTGGGCTGAAGTGGCCCAGCCGTAGAAGCTCCTTCCCTGTGCTCAGTCTGCAGATGGTCCTCTCCTGTCAGAGGCCCAGAGTAGACTGAGCTGAACATTCTGCCCAGGGCTTATGTGGGCGGGACTACACAAAGCAGCCAAGCAACCCAGCCAGCATCTTCTGACTGACAGTTCAAGCCTCCAAACACTGTTGGTGTGAATTGGAACATTGGGCCACACTACAGCTTTATATATAAGGGAGAGATGAGAAGGGAAGTAGGAGAGCTGGTGTGGCATGATGGCTAGGACCCGGGATAAATAAATTTGAATCCCCACACTGCTGCTGAAGCTCACTGGATGGTCTTGGACCCACTATAGTCTTTCAGCCTAAACTACTTCACAGGGTTTTTGTGAAAATAGTGTGGAGGAGAAATAATGTCATAAGCCACCTTGGGCTTCAAATACAGAGAAAAGTGTAATATAAATAAAAATAACAATGGGGGAAAGGACAGCAATTTCTGCAAAAGAAAAGGGAGCAGAGCAAGAGATGGTTTCTCATGGAGGCAAGTACTCTACATGGGGCTGCCTGGACTGAAAGCGCTGCACTGGCTGCCAATAGCATACAGAATCCGCTTCAAAGTGCTGCTACTTACCTTTAAAGCCCTACATGGCCAGGGTCCAACTTACCTGAGGGACCGCCTTTCCCCAAATATACCCCCCAGAGCACTTCGGTCTGGGGCACAACATCGCCTGGTGGTTCCAGGCCCCCGGGAGGCAAGGCTTGCTGTGACTAGGGACAGATCCTTTTCATTGGTGGCACCTACCTGGTTGAACAAGGTCCCAGAGGAGATCAGGGCCTTGCGGAACATTATGCAGTTCCGCATAAGGGGCCAACATTACCACTGCTACCAATGCGGTGGACAACATCGGGGTTAAGGATGACCTGGGAAGATCCGCCACAATTTTTGCATGAGTGATACCACTGGATTTACCTGGTTGGGATAGGCTATAGGTTAACATCATCCCTGGAGAACTGTCTGTTTACCATCTGGCATGTATCCGGAGACCATCTTGTTTTTAAATTGAGTACAACTGTTATTATTGTTTTTATTGATTTTATCTGTTTTATATGGGCTTTGCACTTTGTAAGCCACTCTGAGCCCACTCTGCAGGGAGAGCGGGGTAAAAATCTCAACAAATAATAAATAAATAAATAAATACTGTCCTCTAAAGCAACACCACAGGTGACTATGATAATGATGATTTCATTTATGGGCCTCCTTTCTCACCAGGACCCAGGATGGATTACTAAACATGACATAATCAGTCAGCATGTGTACAGGATTAGCCCATCCAGGCCAGTCCAGGGATGTGAGGGAATCCTGTACTTTTCAGTACATTAAACAACAAACCACAAGATGGCCTATACCCTCTCTGGTTTCCAGACAATTTGCCACCAGAACAGAACCTCTTTTCACTAGTCCCTGCTTTTCCTAAGGGAAGAGATTCCAAACCCTTAGTTGGCATCTGGGACAGAACACATTAGCAACTCAATCCAGAGATGCACACTTTTAGTCTTACCAAGGTAGCTTAAGTGGTCAGGGTTAGCCACAAGATTTAGCCTTGGAATTCAAGTTACAACATCAGAGACAAATTAGCAAGAAGGATCTTTATTCAGTACAGAGTCTAGCAGACAGACTATAAGAGATTACTGAAAACAAGAAAAACCTATGGCTCTTTGCCTTAACTACACATTAAAGATTCATAGTTACCAATTCAGGAACATCCAACAGTCCAGAATAGTCCAAGGGATTTTGAAGGGAAATCTCATCTTTGTACACCCATGTGCTCCAAGTCACCAAACAGGTCTTTGTTTTCCAAGAGACAAC